ACCCAAATTTTGGAGCACATGGCAAGCTTCTTTAATTAACAAAATGGCGGCATGTAGCTAAGATGGCTCGATCCAGCAGTCACAGACTCACAGTATCACTTTTCCTTACTTGAAGAATGATCTGATGGGACATGGACCTGCGCATAGACTGTTGGAGTAGATTGGTGTAAGAATTATTCTTGTAGCACCAACTGATACTGAGATACACACCGACAACTGGATTGACAGGACTTGATGAAGATGAAGATGATGATGATGATGATGATGAAGATGAAAAAAGGTGGCTGAACAAAACGGCCGGTTCGCCGATTTTTGACTTTTCGCTTAGACAAGGTCTAGAGCCACGCTAGTTGTACCATTGGATTCCTCTGGTCAAGATAAGGTCCTCTATAAAGTCTGGTAAGCATAGGAGCTCGTTTTCCCGGTATAGCAAGGCTGCAAAAGTCGTGGCAGCCATTTTGTTTGGGGGTGAATCCTACTTAGTAACGCTACCGCGTTACTAATAACGCTACCGCGTTACTAATAGTACAGGGACTTTGGTCTAATTTTTGAGCAACTTTAATAATTCGTAAAAAATTTAATTTTGATCACAATCATCTCAAACTTTTTACACAACATAAGAACATGTATATGCATCAGGAAAAATTATAAAAATAGAGAATTAATTTGGCTAAAGACCCAAGGGTATAGCCTTTGGCCTATGGCCGAATTTTGGAGCAACTTTTAAAATTTGTAAAAAATTACATGCATGCACATACATACGAACCTCAACGTTATTGCTATCCCAGTAATGAGGATGAGCTATTGTTACTCGGTATAATTTATTGAGTGAGTGCATTCTTATCAACCGACGAGGATCTTGAGCCGCAAAATCAAGTAGGAGTACTATCTGCTCGGGAATCTGGACAATAACGGAGAGGCACAGCTCAGTCAAAGTGGTCAGGATTGTGATAATAAATGGAGTTGAAGAATGTGTGGATAATAGCTGTATGCAGACATCTCTGACCTAATAATAAATAAATAAATAAATAATAATGATAATAATAATGATAATGATGATTTTAAAAATGAATAAATAGATAATAATAATGATGATAATAAATTAATGTATATATTTATACTTGTTTTGCTATAGCTAAAGTGTGATTCATTCTCTTCATTACAGTGATCACTTTCAGTTTCATCTCAGGCGTCACTCTTATTCCTAATATGGTAAATTATTATTTGTGTTTTCATTGATAGTCCCACCTTTAACAATAGCTGCTACTTTATCGTATACTCCGACTGCAAAGTCGCTGATAAACAACAATAAACAATTATAAACAACAACAAACAACAATAAACAACAACATTGCTACCTTGAATGTTGGCACAAAGAATCAGTGGCTTTAATTGCTGCCTCCACTTCAACTGTGTAGTTAGATTCTAACCCTCTCCAAACACTATATTAATAATAATAATAAATAATAATAATACTCAAACCTGTGATGTACTGCTTTTTTGTCAGCTATTATAGTTGAAATGCAAGCAAACAATCTACAAAAATTTGACACAATTATAAATATATATAATTTAAAAATATAATGTCCATCATACCTCAGTGTTAGTGCTCTTGCCATTGGGTCATTACTGTGTATCACTGAGTACAATCTTTTAAAGAATTCATCCTTGCTATTTATCTTGTGCAAATGCTTTTGACTAAGTTCTATCACTTTAATGATATTAAGTCGAAGCAGATTGTTTCTA